CAGTACTTTCCATAAGGCTTTCTAGGATCTGACAGAAACCTGAATTATTCATAAGAGTCTTGGATTTTCCTTCAACCTAATCAAATTAATAAAACAATTTCAATTCTAAAAGCTATTAATGCTCTGTGGAAGAGAGCAAAAGCGTGAATTTGTCTTCAGTTTATTTTTGAATTTTGTATACTTCTCAGAATAACCAAAACAAAAAAAAGTGGTAAAAAAAGGTGGAATGTGAAGTATTATCATTGTTACTTTGCTAGCATAATACCCTAGTGTTATAATTTTTGTGCTTTCATTGTCATTATACTTCAAAAGAAAACTGTTACTTGTGTCCCTTGAAGGGTCTTTTGAACTCCTTTTTAAGAAAAAAAAAGCAAAATGATAGAGAAGCAGTTTAGATTTTAGGAGTAATTACTGTCCTACATCCAAAATGTTTGAAGTCTCTAAAATGGACTAGTAAAATGAAATCATAACATGTAATAAGACAAATATAAACAGTCATATAAAAAACATATCAAAAGGAACAGAACTGTTATGCCACTGGGTATGGTAGATAAGCAAATTATTTAGTTGGCCACTGAACTCGATTGACTTGAAATTTTTGGCATCTACAGCAAAAAGGAAATAAGATGGTTACATAATCATCATTGTCTAACCCCAAAGCAACCATATGCATTAGTAGGTGACTGAATTTGTATTTCAGGATAAAAATTCAAAGATAATTTTTTATGTGGATTCTTATACAAGGAACTTTTAATAATAAAGTAGACCGTGTCTTCAATTCCAACTTTGCCTTATATAAAGATTGTTGAAATGGACCCTTCTTGAATCAGTCTTCTGATGGTTGAGGATATGACATTAAACCATAACTCAGTGATGGCATCCCTAAGGGTGCTTGGATAATAAAATATAAGTATTCCACTTGTTGAAAATCTGGGTTAATACCCAGATAGAGCTGGGAGAATTCATAAGGAGGGAGCGCTTTCAAACCCCCGGGCAGTCTCTCAAATTCCTGCTGCTTTAAACAAGTCGTAGTAAGTGCTGGATTACTGTCAATTTCAGAATACAATTCTGAACCAGAAACCCATAGATGAGAGTGAGGCACAATTCTTGTTCTTTCATGAAAGCTCAACTTGTATTCTCATCTACCCAGAAAGTATTACGCTTTAGCACAGTCGCAGGCAGCTACGATGCTTGAAGATGGGACCAATGTGTTCTCTGAATCCTACTGCCTCACTATTGCAACTGTAGAGTTTACTGGCTTTGAATTAGCCAGAACAATGTTTATGCTACCTGTGGGAAGTAGAACTGCATTTTGATAGCCCTGCCAGAAAGAGTTAGCTGCAAAATATACACATCACACCTAAACCTGTTGAATAGTATTATTTTTAAATGTCCATTTAAATGCTTGAAGATGACTACCAGATGTCACCAATTTTGATGGAAATGAGATCACATTACTTATTTGAATTTATGAACTGATGAGTACAATGCTTAAGATTTTTATTTGTTTTATTGTCAGAATATTCAACCATATGGCTGATATAAAGAAGGATATTTGGCATTTTGTTTGCTACAACAGGGAGGAATTCAATTTGTTCCTTGACTAGCTCTATCATATTGTATAGTTGAAAAATAAGAAAAGTGGGACCTGGATGCAGCACTCTTGGAGACCAATTTAAACTTGACAAGTACCTGCCATGATGGGCTGGATGCCCACTCATACACTCGGAGTCTAATGATTACATCAAGTTTGGACTGTTTGTTCCACAGACTGGAGGTAGATGGGTGATCTAAAAGGGAGACAGAGTTGATATTGAAAATTGAAAGCTGAATAATAGTGCTGGAAATCAACTTGCAACTCAGAGTTTTAAAAGCATGTCCAAGAAGTCAAGCAGTTGAAATTCAGAACATAAAAAGTGTTCACTTGTAAAAGTTGGCTATTCCGAAGGACTTTGGTCTCCAATTTGACAGGATAAGAGCACAGTAAGACGGCATAGGAAATAGTTTTGGGGACAGAAGTGGGGTTTTAGAAAAAATACTGTGGAATTTATCAAGTACTTTGTCTTGGATACTGTCATTGGCTCTCATCTTGGGAGGTGCAGCAACTATATAAAATATGGAGACAGTTGTGTGAAGTTAAATAAAGATTTATCCTATTAATTTTGTCAAAAGTCAAATTATAAATGACCATGTCTCCAAATCTTTATTGTTTTCTTTATGCCTGCTTTCAAATCTTCTCACTGAAATCTTATTTTTAAGGATATATATGACATATTTATAAACTATGCAAACCTATACACCTATTATAGATACTTTTATACTGTATATTGAAAAAATTTTGAATGTGGAAGTGAGAGAAAGAGATAGAGAAGAGACAGATAGAGAAGAGAGAGAAGAGAGGAAGAGATAGAGGAATAAAGGAGAGTGCTAGGCTGCTATAACAAAATACCACAAGGTGGGTGGCTTTAAACAGTGGAAATTTAGTCATTCATGGTTCTGGAGGCTAGAAGTCTGACATCAAGATATTGGCAGGGTCACGCTTCTTCAGAGACATCATGCTCTCCGGGAAGATCCTCCCTTGCCACTTCTGGCTTCTCATAGTCACAGGTGTTCCTGGGTTTGTGGCAGCATAGCTCCAATCTCTGCCTCAGTCTTCCCATGGTCATCTCCTGCTTTGTGTCTTGCCTCCTTTTTTAAAAAGACACTGGTTATATTAGATTAAGAGCCCAGGCTGCTTCAGTATGACCTCATCTTAACCTAACTTATTACATCTGCAACCATCCTAATTTCAGATACAGTCCCATTCTGACATATAGGGGTTTAGGATTTCCATATATCTTTTGGGGAGATATAATTTGAACTATAACAAGGGAGTATTTTATTTTATTTATTTGTTTGGGGAGAGGGGGGTCAATCTTTACGGAATCAAGAATCAAGTAAAGCCAGACTTTTGTTTTCTCAGATAAAGGCAGTCAAGACTAGCTTTACTTTTCTACTACTTGTTACTAAAAAAAACATAGAGATTAGCTGAGGAATTGGTGGAATCCACCTTCTATTTTGACCTTTACACTGTACTGTAACCTCCTTTTATTTGTACCCATCTGATTATGGAGTCAAACTCAGGAGCAATGATATTGAAAGTCAGAGTGCATTTAAAGAAGGAAACAATTTCAGTAGAGGCTATGGTATCAGTTTGAAGAGTGAAAATAAAATAAATTATGATATTAATTGATCATTAATGCTGATGTCCCCCAGATAGCCCAGAGGCTACCATTTAATGCTATAAAGTTATGGAGAATGAGGTTGACCAGCTATTTTTATCGAAGTTTCAAACATTTATCTCTATAGAAATAGCCCATGGGAAAGCAATTTTCTGATCTAAATTTCCTTTGCGTGGAAGGAAATGTGGATTCACCATTCATTAGTTTAATGACCTTGGATAAATAAGCCCATTAATCTTTGAATTTTTTTCTGCATTTGTAAAATAGATATAATAGTAACTTAACCATTAATTTAATAGGGCATTTTAATATAAAAGCCGTTTTGTACACTGTGATGTATATACACAAATGTAAGAATTTATTTCTGGATATGTCTTCATGGAGGCTTTAAGAGACATTGTAGCACAGCAGTTATTGGCACAGGTTCTGAGTCGGACTGATTCTCGAATCTCAGCTCCACCATCTACTAAGGTGTAACCTTGACCTCTGTGTGCCTCTGTTTCCTTATCCGTAACATGAGGATAATAGTATTTACTTCCAAGGTCGTTATGAGGATTATACAAGTTAATAAACATGAAGCAGTTAGGATAGTGTCTGGCACATAGTAAACACTCAATAAATGTAAACTGAGGTTGTTGTTATGATGATTACTGTAAAGTCTGCCATCCAGGTCACCCCAATGAATGCTAGGAATATATATTTAGAAGAGAATGAAATTGGTTCCAGACATCATACAGGATGTGAGTTTATATATGCAGCATAACTATAGTTACACACACACACACACACACACAGAGAGAGAGAGAGAGAGAGAGAGAGAGAGAGTGTATATGTAGGAGCTATAAAAGTTGGGAGGGAAGGGGGAGGGGGAGAGAGGGGGAGGGGGAAGGAATAGGGGAGGGGAGAGGGAAAGGGTGAGGGGAGGAGAGAGATTGATTCGAGATTGATTAGGGGGATGGTTGGCAGCAGGAGAGAAGCGCAGAACCCACTGCGCGCGCTCTGGGCATCTGAGTGAGTTATGGGTTAACCACGCAGTGCGAAGACTGGCTCCAGCCACCTGGAGAGGGTGACCCGAGAATGAGATGGGAAATGCAGGGGACTCCGCTGGCCCCTGGTGCGGAAAGGGGGACACGACCAACCCCAGGTCATGTGAGCCTCCTTGCCCAACCTGCTCACCCCATCCCCCATCCTGAAGTTTGGGTAAAACTCACGGTGTCCCGCAGGGAGGCCCCCGAAGGTTCACTCCGGCTACCCACCCGGTCAAGGCCGGCAGGACTGAGGGCGATGTCGGCGTTTAATATCTTAGTTCTGAGTTCAAGGGACAGAAGATGCCCTACAGGCAGGCTTCAGGTCACCCAGACTCCGTTTGAATCCTAGCTCCTCCACTTGCTAGCCTCAGTTTCCTCGTCTGAAAAGTGGGGCTCTTCACTGGCCTCACCCCGACCCAGATAGATGGTGCCTAGCCCACTTCTTATCTATAAGGGTCACAGGCAGCGACGGTGGTCATTATTGTGAGGTTCTGGCCATGGGCCGGTGGTGGCTCTGTGCGCCGCGAGGTCCGGGGGGCCCCCAAACCCCGACGACCAGGCTTGGACGCGCCTACGCCTGGCTGGGCGCACGGAAGCACCCAGGACGTGGGCGGGGTGGCTGGCGCGGGCCGGGTCCGCTCCAGGTGCAGGTGGCTTCCTCCACCTGCCCTGCTCCCTGGGAGCTTCCCGGCTTTCTGCATAAAAGCGATCCGGTGTCGTGGCTGCCCGGCTCGCAGCTGCGGGATTCTGGATGACTTCGAACCGCCGGCGATTTCTGTGGCTCCCCAAGATGTCCATCATCATCTTAGGCCTCGGCATCATTTCACTGATGATGTTTAGAGATGTGCTCCTTCAAGCAGAGTTCGGCAACCTCAAGCCAGCGCTCCCATGGCCTGCCCCAGGTGGCCAGAAGCTGAAGCTCCTACCTGAGGAGCGACTCAGGACCCTCTTTACCTACGATGGACTCTGGCTGTTCCCGAAAAACCAGTGCAAATGTGACACCAACAAAAGGCAGGGAAGTTATAACTTGCAGGCCGCCTATGGCCAGAGCGACCTCCCAGCAGTGAAAGCGAGGAGACAGGCTGAGTTTGAACACTTTCAGAGGAGAGAAGGGCTGCTCCGCCCACCACCTCTGCTGGCCCAGCCCAACCTCCCCTTTGGGTACCCAGTCCATGGAGTAGAGGTGATGCCCCTGCACACAGTTCACATTCCAGGTCTTCAGTTTGATGGACCAAACGCCCGTGTATGAGGTCACCATGACAGCTTCTCTTGGGACGCTGAACACCCTCGCTGACATTCCAGACAGCGAGGTGCAGGGCAAAGGTCAGAAGCGGCTGACCATTTCCACCAGCAACCGGCAGCTGTTGAACTTTGTCCTCCAGCATGTGACGTACACCAGCACGGGGTATGAACACAATAGGATGGACACTGTGAGTCTGGAGTCCAAGTCTTCAGTGGCCAAGTTTCCAGTGATCATCCGCTATCCTGTCATACCCAAGTTATATGACCCTGGACCAGAGAGGAAGCTCAGAAACCTGGTGACCATTGCCACCAAGACTTTCCTCCGTCCCCACAAGTTCATGATCTTACTCCGGAGTATTCGAGAGTATTACCCAGATTTGACCGTGATAGTGGCTGATGACAGCAAGAAGCCCCTGGAAATTAATGACAAGCATGTGGAGTATTACACCATGCCCTTTGGGAAGGGCTGGTTTGCCGGTAGGAACCTGGCTATATCTCAGGTCACCACCAAATATTTTCTCTGGGTGGACGATGACTTCCTCTTCAACAACATGACCAAGATAGAGGTGCTGGTGGACGTCCTGGAGAAAACCGAACTGGATGTGGTGAGCGGCAGTGTGGTGGGAAATGTGTACCAGTTTAAGCTGTTGCTGGAACAGAGTGAGAGTGGGGACTGCCTTCACAAGAGGCCGGGCTTTTTCCAGTCCCTGGACGGCTTCCCTGGCTGCGTGGTGACCAGCAGCATCACCAACTTCTTCCTGGCCCACACAGAACGACTCCAAAGAGTTGGCTTCGATCCCCGCCTGCAACGAGTGGCTCACATAGAGTTCTTCATTGATGGGCTGGGGAGCCTTCTTGTGGGGTCCTGCCCAGAAGTAATCATAGGTCACCAGTCCCGAGTTCCACCGACTGACTCAGAGCAGGCTGCCCTGGAGAAGACCTACAGCACATACCGGGCCAACACTGATGCCCAGGTCCAATTCAAGCTGGCTCTCCACTACTTCAAGAACCATCTCCAATGTGCCACATAAAAGTTCAAGGACCAGGCTGGGTGCGGTGGCTCAAGCCTGTAATCCCAGCACTTTGGGAGGCCAAGGCGAGACGATTGCCTAAGCCCAGGGGTTCGAGACCAGCGTGAGCAACTTGGTGAGACTTTGTCTCTACAATAAATAAAAAATGTTAGCGGGGGAAAAAAAAAGTTTGGAGGTTATAGGTAGTGAATGGTAGAGAAAGGAGCCTGTAGAGGTTCACGTAGGATTGGATCAGGAAGAGGGTGGTAGTGATAAGTAGAGCCTAAGGAGAGTCAAAAACTGTTTAAAATATTCACTGTAATGAGGGATTGAGACTTTAAAGAACATAAAATATTGCTTTAAAAGTTGCAAGAATATTGTGAACCTAGCTGAGATGGAAAGCTTCTAGTTTGTGGTAGAACCAATCATTTTTGTGCTAAGTGGTTTTAGCACTACCCTTTTGACATTTTTACATATTAGGAAATTGAGGCTTAACTTAACTAAAAAGGTACAATGGAAGAAGGAATATTCAGTTGGTCACATGGTGAATGTGAGCTTAAGGACTTCCACCTTAAAGACAATTTTAGTATTTTAAGGGACATTTTTAAGATTCACACTTATTTTGTGATTCTTATTGAGCTTAAGTGCTAAGAATCATCGGATTCATCAAAAATTTAGAGTGGCTCAAACAAACTTGTGTCAGGAGGACATCTTCTATTGCAAGTGTGACAGAACCAACTTAAACTGACTTCAACAAGGAAAAACAAATGAACGTAGAGCTCCTATCATGCCAGCAGTTTCTGTTCACCTCCCACCTTTGCCTCTTCTTTTCTGTCTCCCTTCTCAGTCCTGGTGGTGGCAAAAGAGCCATATTGACTCCAGGGTCTTCATTCTCTCAGCATAAATGCAATAAGAGTGAGCTCGATCTGGATCTGGTATCTCCTACAACCGATCTAAAATTCAGTGATTTAGCATTTAGCTCACAATCCCACCTTTGAACTGACCCCTGTGGCCAGGGAAGGATGATATGCAGATTGGTTTAAGGTGGTTTAGAGATTGAGACTAAAGGAGGGGTAGAAGCCCTTAGGAAACGTGGGAACTGTAGCCCGTAGGAAATGTGGGGACTGTTGCTTGAAGAAGGAAGACAGGATGTTGGTGAGGCAAGTACTGAAAACTTATGGAAAGTCAGTGCCTCTTGGACAGTTGCCTGAAATACACTTGATATGAATATGTGTTGAGCTAATTATAAAACAGTTGTATAGAATGGTAGATTTTATTCTTGGCAAGTGCTAGGAGGTGCTGTACCTTGAGTTTTGACAAGTACGCTCTGTTGATTTCCAGGTGTCTAAGGTAGAGGTTGCTTTATGTTTGTGTGGATGAGGCAATGATCAGCAACATGACTTCCTTTATCCTTTTTCATTTCAAAACTGGGATTCAAGCTAGTCACAAAATTGAAAGGCTAATTTAGATGAAGTTCTATGAATGCTTCTTGTAAAAAGCAATCGGAACTTGTTAATTGTTCTTTTCATTTAAATATGAAAGATTGAAATGCTTAAAATCACATTTTCAAGTGGTTTAGACATTAAAGTTGGCCTTGGTCTTTTAGCATGTTTTTATTTTAAAATTTGTGTTATGATGTTAAAGAAGTAAGAGGCAGATACTTAAATTGAATTAAAATCTGGGCTTGACAGCTAAATAGAAATACTTATGATTTAAATAAAAACAAAAACTATAGACATATTTTTGTGACTACAATTCTTATCGAAACTCACTTTAGTGACTATGCACTTTTTAAATTATGATTTTAAAAGTGACTACAATTGTATTTACATAAAATATAATGATACAAAGAAACAGTATCTGGTGTCAAATATTCTACTCTATTCAAAAACAAATTGGGTTATACTACATTACTTTTTCTTAAAGAGAAAAAATAGCCTTAATATATAAGTATTAGATAGCTGAGAAAATGTTAAAAAAATTTCTTAAAATTGGGCTCATGTAAATGTCTTTTCCAGTTCTTCCCTGCAAGAAAAAAAAAAAAACACACCAGGAGTATTTCAGAAGCAAAAAAATTCTTTGAAGAAATTACAGAGCTAGATACTATATTGATGTATGGGATACTTCCAGCAAAAACGTGTTCAAAACACCATGAGAATGGATTGATAAAACAACAATTTTCTTAGTATTCCATGAATCTAAATGTTTAATTGCATTTTGTTATGTTTAATTATGAGTTATAAGGTAATAACTTAAGGACGTTTGAAAAGTTATATCATTTAAGGATTTCAAAAATCCTTTTTGATTTTTATAAAAAAAAGTTACTGATTATTTTCAGTGGGGATGTGGGTATTTATAAAAACTCCTTGAGAGAAAGAAGTATGCTTTTATATGCTTTCCACCATGGATGCTGTGATGTTTGAAGTTCAAGAATAATAACCTCGAGTATGCCTAATACTGTGCTGTCATTACTAAATTGTTGGCCAACCAATTCACTGGCAAACTATTCTCTATTGTACTCTAACTTGGTGTCTACATGAGGACAACAGTCTGGTTCAGGGTTGACCAGCCTGAGGTGGGTGGTGTTTTCCTAACAAAGCTGGTTTGGCCCAGCCAGCTACTCCAGCAAAAACGTATTATGGGAATCAGTCTGTTCTCTCACAGTGAGGGAAATTTTCCAGCCAATACATTTGATTGTTCTTGTGTAAACAGCCCAAGTGTTAGGAGAGAACTGACATAACTTTATGTGAAACTGCCCCTGCTTGTTTTTTGTTTCTGCTGGACACACCCAGTTCAGAATGCTCTTTGTTAAATCATGGATGGTCTGGGTAATGCAGACAGCAGTGTCGGTATGGTCATATGCAGTTAAAACATGAATTATTTATGTACCAGTTGATAAACAACCACAGCCCTAAGTGCCTTTCCCCACCCACAGCCTCTGATCATCGTGACTTTTTCTCTGACCCCTAGACATCTCTTGGGTCAGCAGCTCAAGGGGTAATTCCTGACAAAGACCCCAAACCTTTGCTCCAGCGTTATAGATATTATCGACTCTGATTGGCCAGTGTCTGTGTACTTCTGGTTCTTGAGTTTTTAAAAATATCATCTTGGCAAAGAGCTAGTGAAATGTCTTTTCAGCACATTAGTTGAAGACTAAAACCAAAAACCTCAGGACAATGGCGGCACATAAAACCAAGCGGCCTTGAGACCTCCATGTTTCTTGAAGGACAGTTTCAGGGTTGAATGTGATGTAGGTGATCCTTCCTCATTCTTCCTTCCTCCACTTTTGGAACTGATTCTGTTCATAATCCTTCTTAGGGTTTATAGCCAATTGCTCTAAAGTTCCATGGTGGAGCATTTCTGCTAATGAGCTTATTCAGGAAATGTGTGGGTACAACGATAACAACCCACCCACTCTTAAGCTTATTTTAGAAGATGCAAACATGAGAAAATGAAAATTTATTAATGAGCACATTAAGGCAAATGCCAACTATCCTGGATTAAGGATTTCCATTTTTCCTTTCACCTAGACTCTTTAAATTGTGTTTTTATTGATATAAAAATGGCTAGTGGCTTCCTATTGCTGTGAGAATAAAATCCTCATCTCTTATTATGATCTGGAGTGTTCTCCATGATCTGGCCATGGACCATATCAGAGAACAGGCTAGCGTCCTCTCTGATCTGATCTCAGTCTGTTCTTCCTGTTTTCATTCTGCATCTGACACACTGGCCTTCCACAGACAGGCTGAGCTGATTCCTTGTGTAGGGCCTTTTCACTTGCTGTTCCCTCTGTTGTAAATGTCTCTCCACTGGTTCCTTCTAGTATTTAGTTTTTATGGCCCTAGAAAGACGTTTCCAGATTGTTCTATAGAATATTACCCTCCTTGCAGACACTCTACTCACTATCCAAAATTATTTTATTATTTTTTTATTGTCTGTCTTCCTCCTCCAGAAGGTATCATGAGGACCGAACTTTTTCTGACTTATTCCCATTGCAGCCCAGTACCTAAAAGAATGAGACGTGGCCCAGCGTAGAAGAGGAACCATGGAATAGCAACCGCCAAAGCTAAACAACCTAAGAACTCAGTCTTTCCACTGCATGACCTGAGAATACAACAGCACCCATGTTCTAGGGGTCTTGTGAATGTTAAATGAGCTAACACATGTCAAATTCACTTAGAACAGCCTGGAGTGTGCGATGCACTATGTTAATTTTTGGTATTTTTATTTTTTCCTTTTTACTTGTAGCAAGGATTACTATCAAACTCCACTCATTGGACCAGAGACCCTTGTGACGTTAGTGAAAAACTTGCCCCTCTTGTACTAGTTTTCTTTTTTCATTAAATACATGTTCCAAGGCAGGATTTTGCTGTTTTGTTTATTGACCAGTCCTTAGAACCTAGAACAGTATCTGGCTCATTGTTGGCACTCAAACACTGATAGCGAGTAAATTGTTAAAAGTGATCTTTTTAAAGAAAAGTATATTAATTATAGAAATTAGAGAGTAAACTTTTCTAATTTCCATTATAATAATAATAATTATTATTATTACTATTTTTTTGAATTAGAGTCTCACTCTGTCGCCCAGACTGGAGTACAGTGGCTGCTCCCGGCCACCGCAGCCTCGATCTGCTGGGCTCTGATGATCCTTCCGCCTCAGTCTTCAGAGTAGCCAGAATTAGAGGTGCGTGCTACCACGCCCAGCTGATTGTTTGATTTATTGTAGAGATGAGGTCTTGCTGCCCAGGCGGGTCTCAAACCTGCGGGCTCAGGCAATCCACTCACCTCAGCCTCCCAAAGGCGCGGGATTACAGGCTGAGCCACTGAGCCTGGCTCTAATTTCCATTATTATATCCTTCTATATCTCTGAGCATATAACATCATAGTTAAATATTGGGTTTAATTATGCCTGGAAGTTTTCAGTTTTGTCTATAGTCTAAATAAATTGCTCCAATTTGTTAATTGATGATAAGAATTTCTGGCTGGGCCTTAGAAATTCCTCTCAAAACAGTGTTGCAGGA